CTGCAAGTTTTTTTCATAGGAGAGAAGTAGGAAAGGGTTCTCTAGAGTGTTTTAGACTAATGCCTCTGCGGCTCCTGGTCTGCCTTGTACTGGACACTTTGTTTAGCTATCTTAACTCAGTCAGAACTGGCCTTAAAACAGAATGATTGCAAGTATCGTTCATACCTAATATAATAAAAATATGAAAAATGCTACTGACAAGATGTGTTCCTGTTGATTATAACAGCTTGTTTAAGGAAATACATAAATCTGTAATTGAATGTAAGGTCTCTCAAGGTGTTTTAATTTATCGTAGGTTTAAGTGGAGATGCAAACTGGTGCGTAAGTGGCGAAACCAAAATTCAAGTCTTTCCATCACAGTTTATGGATTTTTTTATGCAAGACTTTTTTCCTCTACCCTACAGTTCCAATGGGCCAATTCTAGTCATAATCATAACGAGAAAATATGAGCCTGCTTGTAGTAGAGACAATATCATTACACTTCTAACCAATTTTGTATTCACCAGGCACTGGAGACAACATAGTGAAATAGTAGTAAAAAAAATAGTAAAGCCTAGTGAAGCTGAGAGGATTACCCAAATGTTGCTGATAAAGAAAGCATTCAAGTCTCTGCACCGATTTCCTTTTTAATATTTAGCATCAGTTACGGGATTTACTAAAAGTACCCTTCCAAAGTTCCCTTCCAAACATTAATAAAGATCCGCTAGCATTTAAGATTCTTTATGATTAGAATGATCTGTCTAGAATCTTAAATCTTATTCTGCAGATGGTAGCAAGGTCTCTGATGCAACCTTGATGGAGGTCTTACTGATGAATGACTTTAAGCTTGTTATCAACAACACAACATACAGTGTGTCAACTCCTGTAAAAGGTAAGAGCCATGCTTTAATAGCTCTGACTGTCTGGCTTAATCTAGTGAAAGGCATGAGAAGTCTCAGACAATTGGAACCTCTCTGGAGAAATAAATTTTGGTTTTGTACTGTTGGATGGTCCTGCTTTCAGGGGTGTAGGTTAGGAGAGAGAACGATAAAGGGTAGATTCTTGAAATGTTTTGAAATGATAAACACTTTCTCTTCAGATAAGCTGAGTAGTGAGCGTGCTACTGAAATGGAAGATATCAAATCCTTGGTTCACAGACTGTTTGTGGCTCTGCATTTAGAAGATCACCAGATCAAGAAAGAGAGAGAATTGCTACAGAAACTGGACCACTTGAAAGAACAGCTGATGCCTCTTGAACAGGTTGGAAGGGAGGGAGGTGGTTCTATTGTTATGTTTTTAAGGGCAAAAGCATTTCCTCATATCAGGAGTAAGTCCTGTGATAGAAAATGATCAGATGGATGCATAGAGTGTCTACTTTGTCATGTGAATGAAGTCAATTCAAATACAGTTCAAGTAACTTTCAGTTCAGTTCTTTTTCTCTCCTGCAGCGCATGTTACCTGGTTAAAAGATGCAACATCTGGTGAAGACTGTCAGGAACAAGCCTTAGCATGGCTGGTATTGGGATTGAACACCCACTTAATCACCTGTTGCCATATGAGTTCCCAATACCTATTAAAGGGAAAAAAAATGAAAACCAACAGTGAGCTTAAAAATTATCTGTGGCAGTTTCCTGTATCCTCAAGTCAAAAGGCAGATTGTATGGACTAATGGTTGCTGTAATCTAAGAAATGAAGTTATACATGTTGATCTGGGGCAGGTTAAGGTAACTCAGCTTGAAGGAAGGAATCTAGAGTCTGACAGGATGAGCAAATTTTTCCTTCACTTCAGACCTGCTACATGTGAGTACCAGCCTCAGTGTTAACAAAACCTGCCTTTAATGATAAATAGAAATCCAGCAGATGTAAATCTCAAGCAGTGGGAATGGAAATTTAACAGTTGGTGCTCAGTAGCCAGGAGGCCTGTTTGCCCTTGGATTTCAGTCCTTTTCTTTCTTCACAAGGTAAGTGTGTAAGAAGAGAGCATTGAGAAAGGATCCAGCCCAGCAGGAGTAAACGCAGTGCAACTGATGAGCTCCTCAACTAATGTTTGTTTGAACAAGTTCCTGTGTTTATTTCTTCACCCTAGATGAAAGCCAGAATTATGGACAGCGCTGATGCAAAGACCTCCAGGCTTCTATGGGTTGGTTTAGCTTTGATGTCAATGCAAGGTGGAGCGTTGGCATGGCTCACATGGTGGGTCTATTCGTGGGACATCATGGAACCGGTCACATACTTCATCACCTATGGGAGTGCCATGGCTTTCTATGCCTACTTTGTTCTTACTAAACAGGTGATTCCCCCTCCTGTAAATGTCTGGAATATTGAAAAGAAGGAGTAGAGAAACTGAAAATCCTAGTGCTTGAACTCTGATTAAAATGTAATTTATTAAGTAGCCTTGTCATCAGATTGGGGGAGTTGAGATTGATTTCTGATGGGATTGGATAAAAATGCCTTACATTATCAGGCCAGGTACTCTTACGCCTGCACTATAGACCAGCTTTTGAGCAGAACTACTACCTGTAAAACTCCATCAGCCAGGATATGAGAAGTGATGAATGAATTCTGTCATTTTATTTTAATTTTTGTAGGTCATCTTGAATAGTAAATTGTACCTGGCTCATTGCTGTAAAGGGAGAGCAACTAGTAGTTCTGTACCAATTCATGAACATTGCTTTACAAGTGGCCAGGAAGCAGATCACTGAACAGTAACATTAATAAATAAATAAATATACCCAGATGTTAACTGAGCTGCACAATACAGACTAGTCCTGAAATCCTGTAAGATTTTGCAGAATGCTTCTTCTTTGTATTTTAGCTCTGTACTTTACTCCCAAAGTAGACATCTTGATGTCCAACTTTTGTAGTGGAAAAACTCTTTGTTTACTAAGCTGTTATGTGGAAGAGTAGCCACTGCTTCCATCCGTAATACTGATGGATCCATAGACCTCATGAGATACTAGGTGCCATTTGTGAAAAGGGGAGACACGTTTGTTTTTATGAACAACTGGCTTTGAATGTAAGTTTTATTCCTTCTCACTGATTCTTAAGAAGGGCAGAGGTATTCCTACTTTATGTATCCAGATACACATAAATCTTTTTATACAGATTACTGGTTGTCTTTTTAGAACAGCTGTGTTGGCATGAATGCTTTAGACTTTCAAGTAGTCTTTGAAAAAACAGTGATTGAACTTTCTCTGACTCCTTGGAAAGTCATGTCCATTTATTCAAGTGGCTTCAGTCATGAGGTTCAAGCTGTCTTTATTATAGAAAATTACTTTAGACATTATAAAAATGATTTCTAGCATGTGTCTAAGAGGGCCCGAGCATGCTTGTGTGTGTAGTCTCTTAACAGCATGTGTATGTATTTGTGCTAATGTGTGTACATGCCTATGGAACTAGATAAATAATTGTGAAACAGGCTGAATTTCTCTGACCTGGACTCTTTTTTCTTGCTAACCTCAAATATGTGCTTTTCTTTCTTCACTAGGACTACATTTACCCTGATGCTAAAGACAGGCAGCTCCTCCACTACTTCTACCGGAAATCCAAAGCCCAGCATTTTAATGTGGAACAATACAACAAGCTAAAAGAAGAACTTGCAGAGGTATTTAAATACAGTCCTGAAATAAGGTGGTCTCCTCTGGGTTTACTTTTTCAGTAAACTCTCAGCTATTGGAAAACTGACCTCAGGGTTTGTTACTTACATGGCATACTGTTTATTATCCAGTTTTTGCTTTTTAAATAACCATACGGTGTTTGCCTTTGACATGTAAACTACTTCAGTAGTTCATCAGAAAAGGAGACCTTCACAAGTTAAATTTCAAACACATAAGTTAGGTTTTGAGCACTACACTGCCTTCCCCCACCCCCCCATATTTGAATATGTTACATTTCCAGCTATTTTAATAGAGTAACTGCATTTAGCCAATGTATTACAATGCATAAGCATATTTGCCATCACTTGAGTCGGCAATGCACTGCACCTTCCCCATGCCCTGGTTTCAGCCCATAGAGTGCCAACGGCACACACGAGGTTCAGCTGGTGCTTAGCAATGGGTGCGAGGGGGCTGCGCTGGGCTGCTCAGCGGGGCAGAGCCACAGCCGTGGTAATGGAGCAGGGTGCAGCTGCAGGATGGGCTGGGCTGCATGTGGCCTGCAGGCTAGACATGCACAGGCTAGAGTTTGTTGCTTTTTCAATAGCTTGTGAGAATGATTTTTTTAAGTGTAATTTCAAGAAAATAATACTTTGGATTGTGTGTTGGAGAGGGTGTGGGAGTGGTGTACTTGCATGCACTCTGCTCTCTGGAAACTGAATGGCCTGAGTAGGCCTGTAAAGTTGAGCATACTCCATTTGAGTAGTCTGGTTTCTTGTATGAGACCAGTGTCTTCTGAGAAAGGGAAAAATGAAGGGCTGCAGAAGATGAACTCACTTTTTCTCCCATTGCAGGCAGAAGAATCTCTGAAGCGTTTGCGCCAGGCTCTGCACCTCAGACTTCCAATCCAGGAAATAACTAACAAGGACTGACTTTGTTTTGGTGTATGTTAGAATTGTCTTTTCAAAGTTGATAGGAACATTTAATTACTATACAGAAACTGGATATTTTTGACCACTATAATTTTGAAAGTTACAATAAATATTTATAAAAATGATTTGATTACTTTATGGCTCTGGGTTTGTTTTTTGCTTTAAATTTCGGTCTTACAAAGAAACTGCTGAAGCAAAGTTCTTCAGATATTTGTCAAGTCATATTAGTAAAATGGAGGCATTCTGCTTCCAGATAAAGTGATAGGAATGTTCTCTAAAGTGAGGGCTGTCATTTTCAGACAATTAGCAAGCAATTAACTCCTGCATCAAGTATTACGGATTTTTTTTTCCCTGAAATTGTTCTTTCTTTTCCCTAGCTCTGTGTGCTCTGATTTTGTTGGTATAACACCATTGGTGGAGGTTAGATTTTCATCAAAAGTAAGCTATTACTAGTCAATGTTTCTGGAAAAATAGCACATACATCAAACTCATTTACTCTAAAATTATTTGTTTTACTGTTGCATTTTATTGAAAGAACTTACAAAAACATTCACAAATACATGATTTACTCAGAGCTTCAAAGTAGCCATACTAACTCAGAACACAGTGTATGAAAGGATGTAACTAAAGTAGAACCAGTAAGTCAATTATTTTTTACCCAGAAAAATGAATTAACTTTCCTTAGCATGAGTTCTCTGTCCACCAGAGTTAAGCATTATATACCAATAATGTAAAACCTAATTTTTTAAAAAATTGCTTCTATTAAGTATTGCAGTTACTAATGCTACAGTAGTAGCAACCTGAAACATCCTATGATGGCAAGCATACTATCAGTTCTGTATACAAAATGACAGTGGACAGCTGATCTCTGGAGCCCAGAGGAGGCAGAGTCTGGTCCAACACCAATACCTCTGAAGAACCAAGGTTTGCTTATGTTGTATACTGGAGAGCTGCCTAAAGATATCTAGAAAAGTGGCAAGTGAACCTGAACCGTATAAATCATTTGCTTTAGTGATGTGTAGCAGATAAGTTTACCCCTGTCAAAGAGTGTGTTTGTACCCAAAATCATGCTTTTCCAAAGCAAGATATTTGCCTTATTTCATTACTGCTTTCTTTCCCTCTGAGGATGCAAAGCACCACAGGCTTTAATTGTGCCACAAATGAAAATTATGTGCCAGTAAAAGAAGCCCTTTATTTGCATTAGAACTACAACTGTACTCAAGGAATTAAGTACGTTTTTAGTGTTGAGAGGGAAAAAAAATATATATATATATATATAAATGCATAAAAATTAGGTGGTGGATACTGTTGTACACAGATATAAAAAAGATGCCTTACAAGTATATTTCCTGTAAACTGTACTCTTGGAGCAAGAGAAGCTAACCTAATACAGTGTTTAAAAAGTTTTGGAAATAGTAAAAAATGTGCCATAATGAAACAGGTAAATTGAGCACAAATCTTTCTTTTTCCTTAAAAGTTAATTTCAATAAAATCTGAGCACCTCTTACTAATCTAGCACCAGTAAACTTTTTCCAAATTCCCTGAGATGAACAGAGCTGTAATATTAGCTTTAAATTTGCCTTAAGATTTTTGAAACTATTGCATATACAAACTATAAGGTTTGATCCCAGTGTTTTTGCAGATAATCTTATAGAGTATTAATCTCCTGATCTAAGATGGTAGTTTTCTCACTTCTGTGGTGAGCATTAAAGAATGTCATTATTAAGTAGCAAGCTACTTAGATTTTGGGTGAAAATACAATTTTTTTGTCAACATTGAAGCAAAACAAGGAATCTGTTTTTTTCCTATAGCATTTATATCTCTGCACATATCCACTTTGCGATGAGAAACTTTCCGGTTAACAACAGTAAGAAGTTCTGTGAACTCCAAGGAAGAGCCGTGCTTCCTGAGAGCCTCACATAAATCTTGAATGTACCAGGAGCCATTTACAGTTTCACGGTGAGAAAAGTAACCTATTGTAGAACAGGAAAATAAAATTATTTTCAGTTGTAAGTAGCCACTCCCACTGAAAAACATTCACGACAGTTAATCCTTGCTAGCTTCACCTAATGGAATTACTACTGAATGTAAATCTTACCATGTCAAGTTATGCAGTCTCACTGGAAATGGCAGAAGGAAATGGTTTTGATATCACTTACTCAGTCTAGCCAAGAGGAATACAGTTTAGGAACTGGTAGCTTATTGTCCAGAGGACTGTATCTGCAATTTGCATGGCAGCAGATGGGACTGAGGACAAGACAGATGATGAACTGGGAAATACAGCCACATAGTATGGGGTAATAGATAAGCCTCTAGAATACCACAGTCTAGGAGAAAAGGGGGATGCTTGCTGCTGGCACACAGCTCAGCAACAAAATTATAAAGAGAATGATTCTGTTTGGCAAATTAACTGCAATTTTGAATATTTGTTTTTACTTCTTTCCTAACATATGGGGCTCCTTCCCAGATGTCACTTAACAGGGAGCAAAACAGATGACATGGAACTGTACTCATTATTTTGACTGCAAAATGAGGAAGTGTTCAAGCTTGTTATACTGAAATATCAGACACACAGACATAAAATAGAATTCTACCTTGTGCCACAGAATAGCACATAATAAAGTCTGCACCAGCCGGCAGGGTATAGACGCCAGCTGCATCCACTTCAGTCTGGTTAACAGTGGTTTCATCTTTGCTGTCTACTAAATCCTGAACGAGAACTGGGTCATCATGTTTATCACCTCGACATGCCTGTTGGGGAGAGAAGGATGATTATATTTTCATCTCTGTGAAGTTGATCTGTGTTACCACGACACTTTTAAACAGAGGGGACTCCTGTTACATTCTACATTAACCATAATTGTAGATTCATAAAGACCCATGTAGTTCTCTATCAATTAAAATATTGGTGATGAAATCCAATAAAAACTCAGGGTCAGCTAAAGCATGTTGTTCAGGACTATGTCCAGTTGGCTTCTATCTCCAAGGTTGTGTGACACCTTTTGGTGTTTGCTCACTTACACAATAAAAAAGTGTTTTCTTGTGTTGAGATGTTCTATGTGTTTAATCTGTACCCATTATGCAAAATGGAAGAGATCCTAGCTTCCTCTTCATTCCCACTCCTCCTATCAGGTATTCATGTATATTGATAAGATCTCCCTAAGCCTTCTCTTCTTTAGGTTGAACAATCCTAGTTTCTCCTGATATGAAAGATGCTCCAGTTCCTTATCATTTTCACAGCCCTGCACTGGACTTATTCCAATAAGTCTTTATCTTGTATAGTGGGGAGCTCAGAACTGGACACAAGAATCTGAATGCAGTCTCACCAGCTGGGGAAAGAGAAAGGATCACATTCCTAAGCATGACAATGCAGCAAGGAATAAATGCTCTGAAGCACAGCCATTGTAATATGCTGTGCTATATTATGTTGCTGAATTATTTATTTATTTAAAGATAAGCCATTAAATAAGCCAAGGATTGTCTGTTGCAGAAAGTGTATGTGGAGAAAAAGAAAGTAAGGGCACACTTAAAAAGTTACAAAGTAGGCAATAGGTGTTACATAAGAGCTATCACAAAAGAGAGATATGAAAATTTCCTTTCCTTTGCCATGATGAAGTTCTGTCTTTGCTGTTTACTCTGTGATTTCCAAAGGTAAGTGTTATACTGATTGTTCTTTCTTCTGTAAAAGAACTCCGTTCCTGAACTGAACTAATGCAATTTGCTTCTTTGATAAGTATCTTATTAATATTTCCAAGTATAACTTGTATTACAAAATCAAAGTCTTAAATATTTTTCCATCTTTGGTCTGATTAAAAAAAAAAAAGTGAATAAATCGTAATGAAAAATGAATCAACAGTATGCTGACATTTGTACCAGCCTTGTGCCTAAGTCACCTTTCATTTGAAAAAAGGTAGTTCTTAGAATTACTATATAACTACTAGAATTACAGTCTACTAAAGGTCAAGTTTTTGTTTGAGTTTACTAATTGTAACATAAAGGTGGGCCCTTAAAAATTTGGATTGACCCCATATCCAACTGCTTTGAACAAGAAGCTGGACCACAGAACTGGGATTCTTTTCAGCTTGCATTATCCTTTGAACCAAAGAGTGAAATAGGAAGTTATTGTATGGGTTTTGTTTGACCCCTTAGCACCATCAGTATTTTTGTGACAATAAAGCCTTAATATGATACTTTGTTTTTTCTAGAGATGCCAATTACAACAGATGAACTAGAGGTCTTTTCCAACCTTAACCGTTCTATGATGAGTATTGGTCATGGAAATAAATAAAAACAACAACAAAAACAAAACAAAAAAAAACCATAATCTTCTTCAATTGATCATGTGAAGGAACTTGCCTGGTGGAAAACAGTGAATGTAAGGAAATTAAATAACTTTTTTCAGCCTAACCTATGGATGAGAGGTATGAATGGGAGGAACTGAGCTGAAGCTGTGCACAACTTTCTCCAAAAACTAATGATACTTTCTTCTCTGCCATTAAATGTACACTGACAACATCTTACCTGAATTATAAATATCTTCGGCTTTCCTACCAGACTCTGGCACTTATCTCCTCTGAACATGTTTGTGATCGTCTCAATTTTGATTTGGGCATCATATGCGTAGACGTGGTCATTCTCACCATGACTCAAGAACACACAAACAAAGCAGTCAGCATTGCTGTAGTCATCCAGAGAGGCTGAAATATCAAGTGCGCTTCAGATAACTAAACAGCGATCTTCGCTTTCAAAAAAACATGGTACATTTGTATCATATAATTTCAGATCAGTTGTTTTTCAAGTGAACTGCATTTTCAAATAGCATAAGACTGCAGAGATCTAAAGGTACAGTGATTAAGTATGGCTCAAGATAAGCTGAAAGTAAAAAAAAAAAAAGAATATTACTAACTTCTCCCAGCTGAAAGATAACTTCTTTTAGCAACTTCATTTAGCTCTCATTACAGATTTCCTTACATTGCAATAAAAAAAATCTGAAGTTTAACCATTAAGCCCTTTTTATGTTGAACACTGTGCACGAAAATTAAAAATGTTAGGTTAGCTGAGCATAGAGAACGGAAAACGTAAGTCTAGAAATTCTGCTATCAGTAGTTAGACATAACTAATATGTGGTCTCCTACCTTCATAAACTTTCTGCAGCACATCTTCTGCTTTCAGATCGTCAAAAATTCTGACTTCAAATCCAAGGTCTGTCAAGCTATTGTTAAAACACATACATATTAGTAAAAACATTTTCTCAAATTATATATCAATTACTACCAACTCAATTGCTTTCACAATGAGATAGTTAATATTCATGTTTATGCATTGTTTATAAAAATAACTGAAAATGATTTTGGACTCGAACTGGTGTCCAGTGCATATGTAGTATCTAACTCTAGTTACTTTGAAGACTTTGGCCTAAGAAAGGTCTAGAGTCGCTGCAGTCGTGTTACTTGTGCCAGCAGTTTCTGTGACATACAGGAATGCCCCTTGAAGTTTTTTTAATTATGTCTTTTTTTTGTCAAGATTGCACAGACGCTTATGTTTGCGAAGCATTTTCTTCTGTACTTAAATGTAAGATCTAGGTAGCTGCTTATTTGATCTTAATTTCTGAAGTTCTTTTAAGCTTTGGGGGAGAAACCAAGTTTCTTACCTGCGTTTCAGATTGTTTCTGTCTGCCAAAGTCCCACGTCTATCTGGCAGCCTTAAATGCCAAAAAAAGTGCTCGTGATTGAAGATTAACGCAACTCCTCTTCTCTGATGGTTCATTTTGTATTGCTCTGCAGGGTCAAATGTTTGTCTGTTGCCAGAGATAGAAAACTTTCTTGATGAGTCAGTTAGTTGCTAATTGAATTCCTTTCCTGTATTCCTGCTAGCTGAGACTGTTGTAATTGACTAGAGACTTTGAGAATCCAATTTCAGAAGACTTTAAATATGTGTGATATTTTAGAAAGAACCTATGTAGACAGTGAGTCATTAAGTATTTTTTGAAAGCTTGGGAATGTTAAACAGTTCAGTAAAAATATGTTTAGGCTGGGGACAAGGATCTGTCAGGGAGTGTTGAATGGTTTCTCTGTATTTTCTGTTTTCAGGAAGCTGTCACATTAATAACACTCTGAGGCAGATAAAAGTGCATTTCAGATTTGGCTCCAATTCTCCATGTTACATATTTAGCTAAATATTATTTTAGCAGAGTTGTATGGTGCATATGTATTTATTTGGAAGTCTAACTGTGTGAAATTTGCTTCCAGTTCTTCTAATTGAGTGTTACATCATAAACAGCAGCCTATATACCATATACTGGTTGATGAGGTAGTATACATACTGTTTGTGAGAAGTCAAGAAGTTTGTATTATTTACAGGTCAAAATGAAAGCTATGATGGTACAACTGTTGACTGATGTTTATCAACCAACCAACAGAGCCCTACAACCAAGGGACTATCAGCAAGAGCACAAATGGCCAACCCAGCTTCTAAGTAGAAACATTTAAATATCAAGGCAACAAATGTGTAGAGCATTTGTATGTTTGGAGTAGCATTCTGTTTCTTTTATTGTGTTATAAGCAAACACAACACAGAGATCTGCATTAACATGCTATGATCTGTATACTTGGACCCAAAGGGTCCTTTCCAGGCTTTGGCATGGCTGTATTTAGAGAGACAAATCGTGCTGCTTCAGTTGATAGAGGCATCTGTGCAGGGAACAGAGGCTAAAATATTTCTGATGATAGTTCCTCACAACAGAAAAGGCCTGTGCTGTAGGTTTACAGAGTGACAGTCCAGGTCATGCTGCCCTAGAACTGTCAGTAGGCAGAGCTGCTGTATTTGGCATGTTACTGTTTTGTTTTCTTTTCCTGCTGCAGACTGTTCAGTTTTGGTGCAATTCCTAGAAAAAGTTCAGAATACTCACTTGCAGAAGTTACTTAAAGATTACAGTTTACTCCAAAATGTTTTCATTTGACTACAAAGCAACCAAAATGTTTCATTAAGTATTTTTGCTTCTCCACTTTACTATGAGCAGCTCCCTTCATAATGCCTGCAGAATTCAAACAAGGAGCAGGAATTCTGGACAGCTGACCCCCAACTGGGGATTTCTAAAGTGCTACATGGAAAACTGGTCAGAAAAATAAGTGGGATGCTGTCTCACGCTCTCCCCACTTGAAGTACTTAACATGATAAAATGCAAAAATGTTCAACTTTAGCTCTGTAATTATGAATGATAGAAATATCAAGTGAAAACCTGTGCCAGTGCCAGAGCTTATTCAGATTCTGGTAATTTTTGTTCCTTTGGATTTAGCAAGATATGTGGCTTATGGACTGTTATGTCCTTGGATCCATGAAAGGACCATTAAAGGATGGTTCCCTACATAATTCTTCCTCTGCTCATCTGTATTCACTGAGTGAGCAAGGCAAAGGAAGCTACCAGACAGGTAGTTTACCTTTTCCAGGGCTATACAATGTTGCATGATAGAGCAGGAAAAATTAATGGAACCACTAATTCATTGTCTCTCTATAGAGGACTATATTCTTGTGTTACACACTATTGTTTTGCCCAACTGTCCAGATTGTGATATTTTTGTCACTCTCTCTGCACAATGCCTAACATAACACGAATGCACTCCTAAGAATCCCTTCTGCATGTCTTCATCTTAAGAAGGATAGTTCTACACCTGATGTTGCTAAAACTAAAAACATGTTGTGTAAATGGGTGAGGTTGAATGAGTAATTCACTTGCATTCATAACGAAAAGCAGGAAAACTTCCAACTGACCGTAGCAAGCCATCTCTCCATTGTTGCCATCAGAACTGTACCTTATGTCAAATGCATCCACTTCTGTGATGTTCTGATTTCCATCTGTTAGAGAGAAAAAAGTGAGTTAGCCACCAAATTTTTAAAGGGAAAAGCTTGAACTTGTGCATCCAACCGTAAAGTTTAGCTATTAGTGTGAAAGATGAACCAAAAGCTCATTCACTCATCAGCTAAGTAGGTATGCAGTTTAACAGCTTCATTAGCATTTGTACCCCAAACATTTGGAGGCTGTTCTTAAAATTTTGACTCTAACAATATGAATTTCAGGTGGTCAAGATGTGCACATTTTTTATTTAGTAAGCTATCTGTAGCTACTTAAATACATAAATCATGATCTCAGAATACATAAGGAGTTAGCAGTCTATATTTAAACCGTCTCTTTGGCTCAATAATTTGGAGTTTACAGTATCTAAAAATACACTTTTTTTAAACTTCAGTAGTGCTGCTAATGCAAAACTGAGCAATCTCTGAGGTTGGGTGCAGCTTATGAATCACAGAATCATAGAATCAACAAGGTTGGAAAAGTTCTCCAAGATCATCCAGTCCAACTGTCCACCTAGCACCAATATTCCCCTACTAAACCATGTCCCTTAGTACCACATCTAAATGTTTCTTGAACACCTCCAGGAACAGTGACTCAACCACCTCCCTGGGCAGCTTGTTCCAGCACCTGACTACTGTTTTGGAGAAGAAAGTTGTCCTAATAACCAACCTGAACCTCCCCTGGTGCAATCTGAGGCCATTCCCTCTCATCCTATCACCAGTTATGCAGGAGAAGAAACTCACCCCTGCCTCAACTCAACCTCTTTTCAGTTTTAGAGAGTGATACGGTCTCCCCTGAGCTTCCTCTTCTCCAGACTGAGCAACCCCAGTTCCCTAAGCCGCTCCCCAAAACACTTGTGTTCTTACAGCTTCACTGCCCTTCTCTGGACACACTCCATGGTCTCAATGTCTTTCTTGTAATGAGGAGCCCAAAACTGAACACAGCACTCAAGGTGCAGCCTCAGCAGAGCTGAGAAGGTAGTATAACCATATGTGTTAGTAACAACAATTGAAAATATGCAAGATTTATACCTTTTCTTCTGCTAAATTAAGTATCACCAGTAACAGAATACACATGAAGGTAACACTGTGGAAACAACTGGAAATCTGCATATCTTGGGAGGGTGCAAAACTAAAGGCTTGGCAGATGGCCAGGCCAAAATACTTAAATCTTTTTTCTTAAACATCTCAGTGGGTTCTTCTTATCATAGTTTCTACTACTATCATTAGAGACTAACAAGCACATTATGAAAACAATATGCTGTATTGTACCTGTGGTGGTTGGTGTAGATTTGCTGTCCAACTGGACACGGCCTGCAATCAAAACAAAAGGCATGGTTACATATACATACATTTTAAAAATTATTTTGTATACATATTTTTCCTAGTATTTGTCCCTGTTTTTCACATCTGATTAAAGCCTTCAGCAAAATGAATTAACATCTATGTATTGACTGAGATGTTCATAAAGACACTAGAGTAAGCTTGGAGCTCTAGAACTGACTTTACAAGCCCTTACGTTGAACTTCATAGCATGGGAGACTGAGAGACAGCTTAAAGGAAGTCATACCCTTTGAAGTGTTGTTATTTACACACAAACTTCCCATCTGTAAATATTGATCACGCTTTCATGTGTTGTGTCCTGCAAATATCACTTGTGACCTGATGGATAAAAAGCTACTTCAGTTTGCTTGAAACAACATGTAGGTCAGACTAACGACAGAAGTATTGAAAATGAGTGCAGACAATGTAGCAGCAACACTTGTGCCTGTGATTTTGTTTATAATATGAGCCAGAGATCTGTATGTTTAAATTTAAACTTTTTTTTTTGCTTGTGTACCTAAGATCTGATACTTTTGCCTCAACTTAAAGGAGAGGGGGAGGAAGGAAACACTTCCAAAACCCTCAACAGACTTTTAAAAGGTTAAAGTCAGACTTTTGCACAGAACAGGCTGGCATGTAGATACAAAGACAGTGGAATGCCTGAGCCAAAGGAGACCTGGGAAAGATGTTTTACTTGTTCTTTTAAATCTGCTTAGCAAGTTTCCAGCCTTGAGCTTTTCACTGCCACTGGCACACAATAGCTTCATTCAGGTAAACAAACAAAAAAAGTGGTGTATGAAAAACTTGTTTTACACAGGCTAAGAACTGACTGTTCTCAAAGGGATTACTTGACTTATATCTTGTGAAGTTGGATTGTTTTAAAGGAATTAAAACTCAGGTATGCACTGAGCTACACAGTGAGATCTGGCTACACGTTCTTTGGATGCATTTTAATCTCGTAACATTTCAAATAGGCCAACGGACATGATACTTAGAAAATACCAATGGCACAAAAAACGCACGTATGCCTAACAGCATCCTGGGGAACCAAAAACATACAGCTACCACCAAGGAAAGTGGTACATTTTACCAAAGCCAGGCTTGCTTGAAAAAGAGGGGTTGCAAATTGAGAACATTCAATGCCAGATGATGTCAGTGCCTCTTTGAGTACCTGGACACTGGGGGTGCTCTCAACGAAGGGGAAATACGGAAGAAAACGTTGGACCCTTCAGCCTGAGGTGCCCAAGCCCACGTGTGCTGCAGCTGCTCTGCCCGCACGTGGTTTCTACCACGTCAAGCATTCTAGTTTCACCTCAGTTAAATTACAGGCGTCAACATTTGCACCTTAGCAGTCCAGATTTCAGAAGGCTTTCAGTACATGGCTCATCTCCTCTGAAAGTGAACACTGACTTCGAAATTGATTTCGTTTATCCCTGCAGTAGTTACATTTTGAACTACCTGGTGCTTCGGCGGCAGGTTCTGAGTCACCTATCAGCCTTACGGTAAGAACATCGATCGCAGCGGTGCAGGCGCCTCTCAGCGGCGGCGTTTCAACCCCGACAGCCACGTCTCCTGCTCTCCCTCCCGCCTCCGCACTGATAGCGCACTTATCTCCAGCAGTAACCTGGACTTCCAGCACTTTCGTTCCGGGTCCCCGTGCAAATCGGAGTTTCCGCCTCGTCCCCACCCCCACCCCTTTGTTTCGCAGACGGAGAAAGCCGAGCTCCCGTCCCTTCAGAGTGCAACGGCGGCCCTGCGGCTCCGCTCCCCGGGAGCGGCCCGGGGCTCCGTCTCGCCGCTGCCCGCGGGGCAGGAAGACGTGCCGGCCGCTCACAGCCGCCCGCCTACCTGCCGCCCGCCGCCGCTCCGCGCCCGACATGTCGAGAGCCCTGCTCTTCCCCCGCCGTGTGCCGGCCCGGCCCGCCTCCTCCGCGCTGCTGGAGGAAACGGGGCGGGAGCGGCGCAGGCCGCGGGCCGTCCCACGGCGCTCCGAGGGCGCTCAGAGAATCGCTTTCGCTTGGCCCAGCGCCGGAACGGCGGCGCCTTGCGACCGGTGAGGCGCTGCGGTGCTGCTGAGCCGAGGCTCGGGGCTCCGTCAGACTGCACAGGCACGCGCGGTTTCCCCTGCTGTAAGACTTGTGTTACCCACATTCGCGTGAATGAAGCCCTGACAGAGCTGAAAGCTCGCAGATTTGCAGCCTCGGTCTGTTACTGCATGAGTGCTCCTTGGTGAGCCTAACTGTGACCAGAGCTCAAGTGCTGGGGAGAGCACCCAGACAATGGCCCTGTGTGTGGGCAGCCTCTGCCTTTTCATGGTCAACCGAAGAGCTCCCAGAGGATTGGAGGCTCGCCAACGTGACTCCCAGCTACAGGAAGGGTCCTTAGGAGATCTGAGGAACTACAAGTCTGCCAGCTTGACCTCGGTGCCAGGAAAGGTTATGGAGCTGATCGTCTTGATGAGATCATGCAGCATGTGCAAGACAACAGGGGAATGAGGCCTGACCAGCCTCATGGGTTCACAAAAGGCAAATCCTGCTTGATCAACCTGTTCTTCTATGATCCAGTGACCTGCCTGGTGGATGAGGGAAAGACCGTCTACTTAGTCTACTCAGACTTTAGCAAAGCCTTTGGCACTCTCCAACAGTATTTTCCTGGAGAAGCTGGCAGCCTGTGGCTTGGACAGTACTCTCTTTGCTCTGGGTAAAGGACTGAGTGTGGAGGGCAGAGCCCAGTGTGGTAGTGAATGGAGTTGAATCCAGCTGGCAACCTGTTATGAGTGGTGTTCCCCAGGGGTCAATACTGGGGCCCGTCCTGTTAAGTATCTTTACTAATGACCTGAACAAAGGGATTGAGTGCACCCACAGTATGTAAGTTTGCAGATGACACCAAGCTGGGAGTAAGCGTCAGTCTGCCTGGGGGTAAGAAGGCTCTACAGAGTCTGGATAGCTGGGCTGAAATATGGATGAAGTTGAACAAGACCAAGTGTCAGGTCAGCGTCACTTTGGTTGCAACAGTCCCAGGCAACACTTCAGGCTTGGAGCAGAGTGGCTGGAAGGCTGTGGAAGAAATGGACTTGAGGGTGTTGATCAGCGCTTGACCCATCATGAGCCAGCAGTGTGCCCAGGTGGCCAAGAAGGCCAATGGCATCATGGCTTGTATCAGAAATAGCGTTGCCAGCAGAAGCAGGAAGGTAATTATTCCTCTGTACTCAGCACTGGTAAGGCTGCACCTCGAGTACTGTGTTCAGTTTTGGACACCTCAATACAAGACATCAGGGTCGTGGAGTGTAACCAGAAAAGGGCAGTGAAGCTCTGATGGGTCTGGACCATAGGTCTTATGGGAAGCAGCTAATGAGAACTGGGATTGTTCAGTCTGGAGGATGCTCAAGGGAGACTTTATTACTCTCTACAACTACCTGAAAAGAGGTTGTGGTGATGTGAGGGTTAGCTTCTTCTCCTGCGTAACTAGGAATGGGGTGAGAGAGAATGTCCTCAAGTTGTGCCAGGCAAGATTCAGGTTGAATGTTGTCATGGTTAAAAAAAAATTTCTTCCCTGAAAAAGTGTTTAGGTGCTGGAATGGGCTGCCCAGGGAGGTGGTTGAGTCACTGTCACTGGAGATGTTCATGAATTGTGTAGATGTTGTACACATGGCTTACATGATGTAAGCCATGAGGGACATGGCTTAGTGGGGAAGTATTGGTGGTAGGTGGATGGTTGGACTGGATAATCTTGGAGGTCTTTTCCAACCTTGGGGATTCTATGATTCTGTCATCATGTATAAACAGAAGCCAGTGCCCAAACCCATCCTTCTATAGCTAAGCTCTGCAGGTTTGTAACGAGGACAGGTCTGAACTGTGTATCTGGGCCACTGCTCGGTGGGCTCTGGGGCACACTGACGTGTGAGGCAGCTCTCAGAGAGCAGAACTGCTATAGGTACAAGAGGAGGTGGCTCTGGATGGGGATTTTAGATATTTTATCCAGTCTGACTTGTTTTACATGTTTGTTGTACAAATAAGGAATTTTGGACATGGTGGCTTCCTTGCGGGTGAGGGATCAATGGGTATTTCTCACTGCCTTCACTTGTTTTTCCCATGTTTGGACTTGCTATCTTCAACCCGCTAGCAGCCAGTGAGATCAAGATAAAATTGTTTAAATTCTTTTTGCTTATTCAGACAAAACAGGATACAACTACCAGACTTCAGCACCTTTCTTACTCTCTAAAACAGTTAGATTCTTACTAGGAAGATCTATTTATTTATTGCAAACTGCAAATTTCAATTCTCTCAGCTCCTATTGGAGCTGCCCCTTACACCTTTTGGCTGTAGTAATTCTGTATGAATGGAGCAACTGCAGAACCCAGCCTGGGGCTCCGTAGCAGCAATCTGTTATGTAGCCCTAAGCAGGTAGCTTAGGGCTCAATGTGATAAATGACACTGCTAATCCAGAGTGCAATATCCATGATTCATTTTAGGATTGTAGTTTAGGATTTAACATTGTAAGATGTGTTTGGTATAATTTGCAGGAAACTATAAGCAAGAATTCCTGCTACTAAGTTTTGCTACTTCCTGCAAAACTTAGGCAAAGGCTCTCTGGAAGAAAATAAATGCTTCCACAATTATCAAAGTGTCCTTTGTGATATTTAGCAGTGTTAAGGCTCTTTTTAGTATTAAAAATGGTTTGAGGGAAACTAAGAAATGCTTTCACAGTGCATTTACAGGTAAATACATTAAGGAACAAAACGCAGTGCTTTCCAACAGTGAAAATTTTTCTTCTTTGTCCATTTAAGCATATAGTTGAAGCTCACTTTTACTTGAATTACCTAACTGAATTATGATACTGTGTTGGACTCACTGCATCAATGTTTTAATTTTAAACAATCAGGGTACTACAGTCACTTCAATTCTGTGTCAAAATCTCCCTGTATTTAAAGGCACCGCAAGTTGTTCAGACATGGTTTTGTAAAACTTGGCAGCAGTATCTCTTGCTGTGTTATTTAATACCCACAAATAGGAAAATAAAACCAGGAAGTGGGGTCAAGGAACTTTGGCAGGAATTTTATTGAGTGAGACACTTATTTTGTGTCATGTACCATAAGCTTCAGTGAAAAACAAAAATACCACAAAAAAATAGTAAAGCAAAAACATACAAAAATACTTCCAGAAGAGAAATCACATTGCAATCTGAGTTAAGTGAACTTTAAACTTTCTGCATAGTTTATTTTCCCTGTTCATGGATGCAGTACTTTAATTTTCAGTCATATTCTGTGGATTTCTAAGGCAAATGAGGACAACAGGACAAGACTCAATGCAAAAGTTAACTGAGGTCTGACAACTGGAGATTAGCAACAGAAAATCAGTACAGAGGGCAAACCACAAATAATTCAGACATCAGATGATTTCAGCTAGAGCAGTCATGGAAGAGATGACAGAAATAAAGGCTCAGATGTCTGTCAGCCTCACAGAGGTCATGGGAAAAGGTGACAGAAATAAAGGCTCAAATTTCTGTCAGCATCACAGAGGGCATTTTAAATAAAAGGTTTGTTGGGCTGACCCTATCTGTGGAATCTTCTTCTAGTGTTCAATCAGAATGGACTAAATGAAAGCAAAGATGAATACAGTAAGTTGTGCCATGAGACAAATATAGATCAACCTCTTTGAACAATATATCCTTTCTACACATATAATACACAATACATTGTTTAATTTGAAAAATAAAGACTTGAATCCTTTCTAAACTTATGTAACATTACAACCACATTCCAGCATTCTGTCAAATCAAAACTATATCCTTAGGTCACAAACTGTTCGCTTTAGGAGTCAGTCCTTAAAAGGATCAACATACTTTTCTGAAGAGTGCTGAGGAAGTTCATTACCGGATCAGGTAGAAATATATAATGCAGATATATACCTTGCTTAGGGCTTTTTTCTTTGTTTTAAAACAAACGCACAGGACAGAGTACATCAGAGAGATCTGAAGGTATCTATTCAAAGTGAAGGGCTATTCAAGGTGCCATTTTAACTCTGCAGAACTCTCCTACCTACTGTTATCTATCAGATACATCAGCTGCTTGGAAACCTAACACTTGGCCTATATTAGAAATAATATGAGATTCAGCTCTTCTGCACCTCTGATTTCCCCACTATTCAGTTTCCTTTTTTTTTTTTTTTTAATTGAAAATAGTGTTTGTGTTTTACAGTAGCATACCCTAAATGTACATACACTAAAAGAGTCTAATTTCAGTTTCCAACTTGTAGTGTAAAGAAGATAAGGAAGACTTAACACTTTTTTTCCTATTTTTTAAACACGAGGAAGAATAGCATAATGACTTTCAAACAATACATTCATGTCAGTGTTTAATATAAGTCATTAAGGTTGAAAAAGACGTCCAAGATCATCTAGTCCAACCATCAACCCACCACCACCTTGCCCACTAAATTATGTCCTTAAGTGCCACATCTACACACTTCCTGAAAACCTCCAGACCCCCTCCTGCCACCGCAGGGACAGTACTCATGTGATGGTGTGCTCCTCACACCACTTCTTTCTTTCTCTCAACTTCCTCCTTCAGCCTGGTCTTGTACATAAGGGCTTGCATAGAAAGACAATGAAGGACAGTACTGGTAACACTCTCTAACACAGCTTAACAACCACAAATCTGTCTCAAACTGTGAAACTGAAAGAATGGATAGAAGGCACCTGGTTCAACAGCTGAGTGCCAACTGAGCATGCGCCTGAAAACAAAGTATGATTATGAGTCATTCATCTTACCCCATAACTGGTGAGCAGCACAAACAGCTTTTCAAGCTCTCCTGTGTGGCACTGAGCTGCAGGGACAAGACCTCCCCTCAAGCAGGGGCACTTCTCAACTGTGAGGCTTGGTGCACTCGAGGCAATGACGCTACTGGTATATGACATCCTATCTTGATGCTGGCCACCTGCTTCCTTGCGTTCCTCCTTCTTCTACAGGAAGATGCTGGAGCCTCCCAGAGTGGCCAGAGCTGAAGATGGCCTCATATACACCAGGCAGCTAGGCAGCCTCAGAGCCAGTCCTGGCATCAGTGCTGGCTGCCTCAGCTCTCACCACAGGCCTGGAGCCCAGCACTATGCTACCACAGCAGCCAGAACTCCCCCTCCAGATCCCACCTCCAGCAATAAGATGTGCCACCTCTTCAATGCCATCTTCCTCTTTCTCTTCAGGGAGCTCAGGGGCATGGTCCCAGTCAGGAAGTGGGTGATGAATAAGATGAAGGCAGAGTTTGAGAAGAAGCTCCAGACAGGGAAGGTGCTAGAGGAGCTCAGCTTCAGGGACATCAATCTGGGCAATATTCTGCCCATCTTCAAAGCCATCAGACTCATCTGGCCAGTGGACAGCAATGAGGACAGCTGCCCCAAAGAGCTGAGCTTCAAGGTAGACCCGGAATACAGTGGCGACTTCTGTCTGACTGCTGACTCTGTCTTTGAGTCTTTGGTAAGTCAGCCTACCTCTTCATCGAGATCTGGGTGATGGGGCTGAAGCTGGTCTTCATGCATATACTCTTCATGCATCGGTCCTTCTCTTTTATGGATGACTTTGTGATAGTCTCTTTTTTTAAAAAAGAGCATTTGTGTCAGGCCTGAGAAGTGTAAAACATTTGCTTCATTCCAGTTGTTTTACTTCATTCCAAACTGCAGGACATCCACACCATCTTCTCTCAGAGATCTGTCTTATCCTCATAGCGACACATACATGAAGCTCTCTGGCTGTCAAGGTACGGCTTACATCCTAAGTGTATAACTGCATCAAACAACAGCTGAACAATTGATTCACAAGCTGCAAGCAAAGAGGCATTCAGTTAGAAGTACTCTTCAGATAGGATACAAAACTAATAGGCATGACTCTGGCAAACTGAGAAGGATTTTAAAAAGCAATCTTTTCTGAGCATAGCAAACAGGCTGTCAAAAGAAAGAGTGAACTGATATAGAATCAGCTAAATTGTGATTAAAGATTTTTCACATACCAGTCAGAACACTCAAGATGATTCACTGGCTATGGAATGTTATCAGTGTTAAAAATATCACTCAGTTTTGGAAAGATGAAAGAACTGTTCCACCTTCTACTTTCCCAATTTATCACAGAACCATAGAATGGCCTGGGTTGAAAAGGACAACAATGATCATTGAGTTTCTACCCCTTGCTATGTGCAGGGTCACCAACTACCAGACCAGGCTGCCCAGAGCCACATCCAGCCCAGCCTTGAATGCCTCCGGGATGGATGGGGTATCTACAACTTCCTTGGGCAACCTGTTTCATTGTGTCACCACCCTCTGAGTGAAAAACTTTCTCCTAATCTCTGACCTAAACCTCCCCCTTGTCTAATCACTATCCATCCTCGTAAACAGCCGTATTTATGCAAAGGTTGCTGTCTTTAATAGGAGCTCAACGGAAATGAGTAAATATTCACCAGTTCTGACAAAGCAGAAACATGACCTCTTTGCAGTTACATGAATTTGAGAAGTTCAAACACAGGCTTATTCTAAAAACTGATTATTTTCAGTGGGACTCTTTACTGAGAAAGAGCCATTGTTTAAATTAAGTGTGGTTATGTCATGTATTGATCAGATGTGGGCCAACAACAGAAGGAATCTAATCACAGGATTATAGGCTGTTCAGGAAAAACCTAAAATGTATGCACTAAGGGATAGTATTCTACTATAATAATATATTATTTTAATACCTTTCACAAAAGGAAACAATTCGGTATTTTCCTACTGTTTATATGTAATAGACCTCTAGAAATCAGTCAGTAAAACAGCAAACATTCAGCTACACTACAGCAAATGCAACAATTATAGTGTGTTTTGATAATCCTAGAAGGGAAGCCTTATTTTTTCAGCTCAAGGTTAGTTTTAACTCTGATCATTTTCCTATGCTGTGTAATTGCTCAGCTGCACAAGTGTCTTGGCTGCATACAAAAGGACAGAACAAGGCACCTTTCAGCAACAGCATCAGTTTATGGAAATGTAGCATTACTGTGCAGCAAAAAGATTCTTTGCCAGACAAGCTTAGTAAAACTCGGGGGCAAAAAAAAAAAAAAGGCATTTATCAGACTTACCCTGTACGTTCTCGGATATCCCAAGTGTTTTCTGCACATCTCTGCAAATTTTGGAGAGGCAGGACTGAAATTGCTCATCACAGTCATTTTTTTTATTGCCACAAGTATCATAACATCTATCATGGTGATTGCAGCACTTTGTCATCAAAGGGATACCAATGTCAAACTGTGGGGAAAATCCCACATGCACCATGAGTAATGTATAAGAGAAAAGAAAGAGTCTATGAACATGATAGAGTATAAAAGTTAGAAAACAAAAACTGATGTAATCAGCAGCTGTCATTCACTTATCTCTATCATTTGCTGTTCACTAAGCTGTGCTGGTTTGACCCCAGCTAGCAGCCAAATACCCACATAGTTGCCTGCTTAACCCCTGCCCCTCACAGGTCAGGGTAGACAACAGGCAGATCAAAAACAAGAAAACATGTAGTTCTAAACAGAAGTTTAATAAGTGAGCGGAAAAGGGGAAAGCCACTCAAAATAAGCCATGCAAAAGCAGTCACTCACCAACCCCTCATGCCCAGCCTATCCCTCAGAAACCAACCTCCTCCCCCTCTGCCCCTTCTCTATCCACAGCAGTTGTATCGCCAAGCATGATGTTACATGGTAGGGAACATCCCTTTAGCTTCTGAGTGTCTCAACTGCGTCCCCTCCCAGCTCCTTGCCTAGCCCCAGCCTACTCACTGGGCACAGTAATGAAACAAGGGCAAGTCTGAGTGCTGTGCAAGCACTGCTCAGCAGCAGACATCAATCATGTGTTATCAACACTGGTTTAGCCCCAAATCACAAGCATGGTGTGGGCTGCTAGGAAGACAGTTAACTTCATCCCGGTCAGACCCAGTACAGCAGCTAGTCGCTATTGATGTTGACGATGAAAATGTTTATGCTATGTTTACCTATAATACTAACATTTTCCATGCGTTGTTGCCAAAGCATATGCCCAAGCTAATAAAAGCAGGGACATAGCACACAGGTGCTGTCTCATCCTTAGAAAGTGGGAGGAATAACACCACCCAGCTCAAGGAAAGGCATATGAAAAAGCACACAGACACAGAAACCCCCAAATGGACTTACATGAACTCCAAATAGAGGTGATCCACAACCACTCGGCGGTGAAGGCTTATATCCATAGCGAGGAAAGGGCTTTGATCCTGAAAAAGATAATATCTAGTGCTTCAAAAAGTTTTTTTTCCAGATTTTTAGCACTGTCAAAACTCAGCACAGACATTCTGATGGGCCTGAGACAGCACCACCTGTACATCTGATATAAGCACCTCAACGTCAGCAACTCTTACCAAATTAAAAGAACTAAGAACTTTATAAATAATTCAAAAATAATAATAAAACAAGGAGAAGGCACCTGAGCAAATATTCACTTTAGATTTCAAGTTAAAAAAAGCCTCGAGTGACTGAAACTGATATATCACACATACTATTACATTAAAAAAAAAAAAACAAACAGAGGTTCTTTGAAGAATTAATGAACTTACTTCAAGGTAGCTTAAATGCAATCAAGAACACTATTGTGATGTTTTCAGCTCAACCTTTGCAACCCTCTGGCAGGCAGCACGGCGCTGCTCGGGCTCAGCCTGCCGGCCCGCCGGCTGCCGGCTCCCCGCACACGCCGCTGGAGGCGGGTAAGGCCGCCGCTCCCGGAGCGGAGCGGGGCAGGACGGCACGGCGAAGCCCGCTGCTGGAGCTACAGACGGCTACCGGAGGGGTCCCTCCCGCCCGCCCTGCCGCTCGTCTCACCGTCGCTGCATTTGTACTGGCAGAGGCCGTCCTCGCCGCCCAGAAGGTCGAGCGCCGCGTTGAGGTACACGTCGATCTTGTGCACGCCGTTCCGGATGGTTTTCAGCGTCATCCTCCAGTCCGGGGTCTGCGGCGCCTCCTGGCTCCGGGCCGCCGGCGGCCGCGGGCCCACCCAGGCACCCGCCATCAGCAGCGGCAGCAGCAGCAGCAGGGCGCGGGCCATGCCCGCCGAGCAGCGCAGCGCCCCGCCTCGCCTCGCCCCGCCGGGCGCTCGCTAAGCCCCCGCCGCACGGCCGCAGCGCTCCGCACGCACGGCCCAACCCGCCGCCATCGGCCCCGCGGGCGCCGCCCCGACGGCTGGGCGGGACTGCGGGCAGGGCGCGGCCTGCTGGGGAGCGCGGCTGGAGTCCGTTCGCGGCCCGGCGTCGCTGTGTGCGGTGCCGGGAGCGGAGCCGTTCCGGCGTCTTTCCACGTGCGAGCGGTTCGCTTTCAGGTAACGGCACCGAGCCGCGCGGTGCGGCCGCAAGTAGGGCGGTGCGGGAGGACCTCTGTTCAGCACCGAAGGCCCAGCGTTGGGGTGCTGACTGGCACCCCTTGAGTCCCCTGCTCTAACGCCGCGTTCTGCGCTTCTTAGGTGAGGCAGGGTGGAACCACGCGGGAGTCGTTTTAATTTCTGCAGCGAAAGCCTTGTTTTAAGACGTGTGGAATTCCCCAGAATACAGGCATAGTAGGATTTTAGGACACGGGTAACTGCAGGGGACGGGAAATGTAAAGAACGCGGACAGGCGAGATGAAAAGTACCTGGTAAATGCTGCTGCGTGTTCGGGCTTTTGTTTGCTTGTTTGTTTTTCCTCTTCACTCTTAACGTTCGGTATTGTTAACTGGAGGAATAGTAGGAAAAGCTGTAAGCAGGCGTTGTCAGACGGAAGAGGGAGCTCTTGCCGCACCTATCCTGGAAAGTGCCGTCCCTGAGGTTGCTGTACGGAAGCCCTCCTTCGGCGGAGCGGTTCCTGGGAAGGGGAGTTGTGCTCACATGCATTCCCGAATGGAAAGCCTTGGTAGGGGCGGGTAAGGAAAGCAGTCTCTACGCTTACTTTGCTAGGAGGTGAACGACTTGCCCCAATTCATGCTGATGCGGCTTTTTTTTTTTTTTTACAACTCAGTGGAGGATGAAGTCAGTGAAAATGTAAAAATGTTGCCTGAAGTACATAATGGTGAATCATTAAAAAACAAACCCCAGACAAACCTCCAAATTCACAAAACTTGTGCAGAACCCACCCTTTTCCCCCCCCTTCCCCCCCCAACATCTTTGTGTGAGCATATGCTATTTATTTGGTGGGACAGCTGATTAAAAGGAATGAAGCAAAATAGGGCTTCAAGCACTTGTAAACTGGAATCCAGCAAAGTGTGTTACAAACTGTTGCACAGTTTGACAGGACTGAAATGGTTCTGAAGTCATTTGTACCAATACAAAAGCCAACTACTGGCTTTTAAAAAAGTGCCAGAACTTTCCTAATGGACTCAGGGCCTACCCTACCTACCACATCATTCTCTTCGTGGGTAACTTTTTGAATAACTGCATGGCTGAACTTCCCATGACTGCATAGCACAAGATCAGGACCCTGTAAGGATGTGTTTTTTCTTTGTTACTCATCAAAACATCAACAGATCTCACAGTCATGTTCAGTTCATCACATGGTCTGAAGTTCTGTTTCTGGGTAAGCCAAAAGGATCATCTGCCCAGCAAAGCTCAGGGTTTCTAATGACCTACACCTTGACACAATGGAATTGCTTTTACATTCTCTGGTTGCTGTCCTTTCTGTGTTATTCATATATTGCTAGTGCAGTTGGTTTTCTGACCACTGCTTTCAGTACGGTTGTCCATTTAAAATAAACAGTTACTACTGAAAGCAGTGTGAAATGAGGGGAGAGAGAAAAGAAATAACAACAACAAAAAGTTGTCCCTGCAGTAAACATGGTTTTATTAGATAATTTTGCTGTGGATTTATATGACTGTAAAACTCTTCCGTACAGACTTCTGTAAAACTGTTGTATTTGTAGAGAGCTGAACATTTTCAAACTACTTTATTTCAAGATTTGTACTAATAGTTGCTAAGGTATATGGCTGCTATTGTAAAAACAGACTAGTGTTCATTTCTGCGTGGATGATAACAAGCGTTTAGTTTCCTGAGCTTCAGATATTATATCGTGCAATGAGACTCCTTGTCACATGGTGGCTAATCCAGTCGTAATAGCTGGCAACTTGTGTGTAGACGCCAGGGTGACCAGCCTCCCCGCAGTTTTCACCCCAACTCACAACACCCCAGACATACGCCACGTTTTCTGCATCAAAGCAGACCAGGGGACCTCCTGAATCACCTTTGCAACTGTCAATGGAGCCATCATAAGTACCTGCAGCAAAAACAACAACTCAGAAGTAAGCTTATATGCAAACTAGCACGTAAAGTAGAGCCCAGGAGGCTTTTTAAATCCATATCACTTCTGGACAGGTGTCTGCCTAACAGTCACTAGTACTGGAAGTTCCCAACCTCTTTGATCTACTACTTCTTAATTATTTTGAAGTGTGGGCCCCTTCTTTATAATTTTGGTTGGGCCAAAAGCTCATTTGCTTTCACATCAGGAATGTGATTCTTGTTATACCCTGTGTAACAGAGAAGAATTGAGATGTATTGTTTGTTATATCATTAGAAGTAGCTTATAAAAAGGGGACAGAAGGTAGAATAAAAGGGTAAAGATTATTAGACTGATCCGTCTGGAAATTAAGCTATCATAATATGCATGTTCCTCTACATCTGCTATTAATGTCCTCTCTACCCAGTAATACATTGGCCAATTTCCTCTGAGCTATGCAGAAGCAGAAGCCTCAAAATTAATTTCTCTACAAGCTTTATGGCAAAAGGTGGGCAGGTCCAAGGATAGTAATGAATGATGAGCTACAAGAGAGTGCAACTCCAGTGTTTAACTGGAGCCCTTGAGAGGGCACTTGAATTGTGGACCACCTGGAGCACCAGGTGACATCTCTGAGACCCAACATATGGGCTATGGTGCTGTCTACAAGTTTCTGGGGTTTTGAAGCTACTTGTTGTTTAGCAAATGTAGTTGTTGTAAAAAATAATAAAATAAAATTAAAAAAAAAAGAGGAAAGAATATGATATTGGCAAAAATTTTCTAGAGAGTTGGAATACATTTTATGCTTTGTCTCATAGACTCAGTAGAAGTGTGTAAAGATTTAAGTCTTTAACTCCTTCTTTTTACTTGGTTGATTGATCTAGTAAGAAGGAGCCCATACTAAGTAAGATTGCCGATGTTTTTAAATATGTAACCTCTTTCTTGAGTCTCTGCATTACTGAGAAAGAGTTTTGTGAATGTTTCAGGATTGGAAAGACTAATTGTATAAAACTAGATTTTGTTGCCCATACTCAGTTGTATTAACATTACCTTGTATCAGTAACTTCAGCAGATACCAGTCCTTAATTCCAAAATTTATATCTGCATTCACATTGTACTGAATTTATTCACAAATGGTTAAGCTTTTATATCCAGTTTTGATTCGTCTTGTTATGTAGTTTGTTTAAATACTGCCTTTACTTCAGAGTTAAAGAACAGTTGAAACTATCTGTCCTGTAAGTTGAAAACTCATTGCTCTTTAAGACATGTGTTTGGCAATACCTTTTGTTACTAGAAAAGCAAAAATGTGTACTCAAAATGCTTATTTTAGCATTAGGAATGACAACCAGTTTCCTGGCCAGACTAATCTTTGTTTGAAAAGTTTATAGTATTTTTCCTGGGGTGTGATTTAGTGGTAGAAAACATCTCAGTAGATGAATAGTCACATGCTAGTCAGCAGGACTGTGAATGTGCTCCAAAAAAGGCATTTGCTTTATTACGTTCCTGACCAGAATAAAATAGAGGTAGGAGGAAGTTCAGTGGGCTGTGAAGTGCTTGTGTGTTTAGAAAACAAGACTCCAACTGTGTGCTAAAATTTGCCCATAGTCACTGAAACTTGGCATACAGTCACCATAACTGTTTATAATTAGATAGTTAACAACAGATGACTGTAGGCTCCAGTGGCTAGTGCTTTGCAAATGACAATGTTGTTGCATTTGTTTTATTGCATTTTCCAAGTCTAAAAGATTCCCAGCCAGTATGTCAGACCTTAAAAACTGTGGGCATTATGGTAAGGAAATTATAGTAAGAAAATTCATACTTGCCTGCACATGCCATTTTTTGTAAAAATCGTCCTGGATACATTTCAGAACAATTCTGAAATAAATTAACATTTCCCCATTTGAGCACATATTGTTTGGTATAACCTAGAAAAGAAAATAATAAACTTTTCTAAATTTAAACTGATAAATGTGTATGAAACACTTTTAATATCATAAGTTGAATGTTATAGATTTGTTTATCTATTGAATGTAATCTTAAATATTATAAACCAGGTGCCTTAATCTGCTGCTAATGCTCGCCCCGCATCCTTTGCCCATATATTTCAAAATAAAAGCAGAGTGGTTAAATTGCAGTATTAAATGCAGTAGTTTCATTTTTGTGTGTGATTTTTACTCCTTTCCTTTGTTATTTTCTTCATTTTTTTCCTCATGTTCTCCATATCAGGGTTTCCAGACAGTATACTATTGGGAGAAATAACTCTGATCATCTTTGTTACCTCTCTTTCTCAGAAAGATGAGCGGACTGGAACTTGCAGACACAGGTGAGCTATGTAGTACAAGGTTAAGAAGAGGTCCTATTTTGTTCTCTGTGGTAATTCTCAACTTTGTATTTTGTTTATGGACTGCTAGTGCTCTTAGGCCTGGCTGCAGTCATTCTGTGATACAAACCAACTGTTTCCGAAGGCTTCAAAAGTGTGACTGCATTGGGCCTAACCTTCACTGGGTTGAACCTATACATGGTTGAGATGAGATGTGCTGAGCTTCATAACTGCTGATTGCATCTCAGATCCGTTTGGGTAGGGCACAGAGGTCTGGCTGTGACCACGGGCCGTGTGTTAAATACTGTTACCAGGTTTGCACAGATAAACCTAAGATAAATACAAGATTGGCAATCACAGTCACTTCTTCTGGATGCCTCAGAGGTACTAAGCAGCTCTTGTCTTCTTTGAGAAGCATGTACTGCTGTGCAGCACAGCAAATAAGTTTTTTGCTTATGCAAATGTTGTCTGAATGCTGCCATCTCACTCCTGCTCTCTTGCTGCACTGTGCTG